TCTGGCCTGTCTACCTACCTAGTCTCTTGACCTCTTCCTCTCACTAGGGCCTGCTGGTGTTCTTGAACTCCCCCTCCCCCATCTACCCTACTCTCCTCCATCAGTAGCCCAACAGCCCTCCCACTATTTGCCCTGTTCCCCTCTGGCAGTGGCCTAGGCCTACCCTGTCTCTGCCCGTCCCTCCTGCCTTTGGCTCACTGGATTCTGACCAACTCCAGGTCCTTACCATCAGAGAGACAAGATGCATCTCTGATTCTCAGGCTGCCCCCCTGCTACTCCTAAGCCCAGGCTGTCCCTCTGGTACCTCCCAACAGCTGCCACTATCCTGCCTTTTCCCATTAGCCACCCACGGCACCCTGTAGTTCCCAAAAGCCTGAGCCACCCCCTTTCGCTTCCCTGAAGACCCCTTCCCACTTCCTCATTCCCATTCCACTATTCTCATTCAGCTTTCCTTTGGTTTTAAATTAGCTTGGTTAATCAATTACTGTGCTGCATGTTTTTACCTGCCCTCCTACCCAAGTCCTGCTCCACCCCTGCCCATGGACCCCCTACAATGCTTTGTTTGTGTGTCCCCTCCCAGCTCATTCCTGCCTGGCAGGCAAGGCAGCCCTAGGCATCACGCCTCACCACTCCACCCTTACTTGGGCACTGTCTCCAACTTCCTCAAACCCCATCTGCATCCTGCCTCACTTCTCCGAAAACTCCATTCATTCCTGCTTGTGAGGGACAAGTCACATGCTGTTTGTGCTGTGCCTGCAGTCTGGGTTCAGTACCCATCCTACCACCTCCTCCTTGCTATATATTCCCAGCCAGGTCACCAACCTCGTCTCATGCTTGGTGGCCTTATCATTGAGACTGGACTGTGGAGTCCCTCTCACTACAGTACTATCACGACACCCATGGTGGTTGAAGCGGTGGGCTGACCTGAACCTGGACCAGGAACCTGGAAACCCTATGTACTTGTTGGTTTGGGCCTGAAGAGACTTAGACTGTTTGCCGGGCTTATAGAGAGCAACAAAACCTTTCCTGGCACCTTGTTGCTATGTGAATGTCATACATCTGACAGTCTTAGTCTCCTGAATGAGTCTGAATCCTGCTGCAGTACATGGCACTGCCCTACACCCCCCACCCCACTCCCGAGTCAGGAGTCAGTTCCAGGGCAAGATTTCTGTAGCTTCTCCAGGGTATAGGATGGATGCTCCCAGTCTTGTCCTGTTCCAGAGTTGCGCTCAGGGCCCCCTCTGCTGTTTATTTAGTGGAACCATTGTGGCCTGGAAGGGAGAGGGATTCTTATTGGAGAAAGAGCTGCAGAGGGACATGCCCACTTGCTGAAGAGCCTGGAGCAGGTTGGTTTGTCCAGGCTCAAAGGGCTTCAAGGAATCCTATTTAGCCCTGGCCAAGAGTTCCTGACCCAAAAGGGATTTTTAGTGTCTGAGTGACTAACAGGTTACAGAGTTCAGGAGTTCTCCTTCAGTTATGCTTTGAGGACAGGGACAAAAATCCCTGCTGCCTGTGTAGGACAGGCCTGGTGGACTGAGGGTTGTAGCTACTGCATTATATTTCCTGGGGAAGTGACCCAGGAGAGCACTTCCTGTATGTGGGGGCCCTAGGCTCCTAAGCCAGCTTCAGGGTGGGGGATGCTGGCCACCCCATCTGCCTCTGACCTTGACTCTTTTGTTTATGTTTTTGTTTTTTTGAGGCAGAGTTTCTCTGTGGAACAGCCCTGGCTGTCCTGGAACGTACTCTGTAGGTCAGGCTGGCCTCAAACTCACAGAGATCTGCTTGTACCACCACATCCAACTCTGACCTTGACTCTTAGTATCTGTCATCCCTAGAAGATTCATTCCCATCCCATAGTATGCTGTATTCCCACAGAGCCTGGACTGAGGAGGTCAGGGATGGTGGATCCCATCCTACCAGAGACCTGAGGGGATGGCATGCAGGTTGAAGTATGTGGACAGTCCCAGTCTGGCTCAGTTGGACCTGTGGAACCCTTTCCGTCTTCCTCTGAATTTTATGGATCACCAGAACTACCCTGAAGATGGGAAGTGAGAAGGGAGGAGGTTCTGCAGACTGGTGTGTCCACACACATGCTGCACTCTCCTCCTCCTCTCCTCTTGCTTCCTGCTTTTCGACATTTGAGCATCAGCCGTTTCTACTAGTAGGAAGGATGTCATAGAGAGCCTGCCCTGGGGCTCCTAGATTGTCTTCTGGCTATGAAATAGGGTCCCATCCCTCTGGAAGTGGGCTGAAGTCAGAGACAGCTGGCAGAATGGTCTGACCACCACCACCACCTCAGGCCACACTGCTGAATGAAGCTGGGTATGACTAGCTAGAATGACTGTGACTATCATTTTCCACTCAAGAAGGTGGTATTGGGCCCAGGTCTCCAGGAGACGCCTTCCTACTCCCATGGAATAGAGTGGCTGTAGGTTCAGCTGCAGGGCCCAGAGTCAGGCCAAGCATTTCAGGCATCTCTGCCGAGTAAAGGTTGATCCCTAGTCATCTGCAGCACTATAACAAGTGACTTCCTGTTTGATTCTGATAGCATCCCTCTCTTGATGCTTTCTCTGTCCATCTATGGGGAAAGATTCCAGGAACTTCAGACACTCCCAGGGCAAAGCCTGGCTCTGATCTCAACCACTGTTCACTTCATTCCCTCCCTAGGCTCACTTTAGTCAGGATGTTTTCTGGGCTGGAGCAAGGGACTAATGAGCTAGTTTAGCTGGGACTGGGTAAATCTTCTTTGCTGTAACTCATAAAAAGCCTGCTGCATTTCCCAGAAGCCCTTGATCATGGAGCAGATGTGATGATTGCAATTCTTACTCCATACCTGGCCACTTGACCAGAAGCTGGGAACAGAGGCTGAAGTCCTGGCTTCTTGCCTCCACACTAGCCCTCACCAGCTGGGGGCCCCATAGAAGTCCCTCTCTTCTCTCTGAGCTCGTATTTCTATCTGTAGGAATGGGAAAGACTACAATTACTATGTAAAGTGTATTTTTAAAAATGTGTGGGATTAGAGCAAGAGTTCAGTGGTTAAGAGCACTTATTGCTCTACTAGAGCACCTAAGTTCCCATAACCCACATCAGGCATCTCACAGCTGCTTGTTACTGTAGCTACAGATGATCTGATGCTTTCTTCTGGCCCCTGTGAATACTAACATACATGATGACATACATAGGTAGAGGCATACACGTGCACATGAATACAAATAAATCTTACATGCGCACACACACACACCACACACACACTACACACACATCACACACAAACACACACAAACACACACTGTGGCTGTGGAGTTGGCTTAGTAGGTAAGTGTTTGCTGTGCAAGCATGAGGACCTGAGTTTGAGCCAGGCATGGTGGCACACTCTTGTAATCACAGTTGTGGGGAAACAGAGGCCCCTGTCCAGCCTAAGCAGTCAGCAAACCCCAGACCCCAGTAAGAGACCTTTCGATAACTCCAGAGGGCCAGCATCCAAGGCTGACCTCTGTCATCCACATCCATGTGCACATGCATGTACCATCACAAACACACACACTGACAGACAAAACTCCCAGTCCCTGGGCAGAGTTCTCATCCCACACAGCTGCCACAGCACTGTTAGAGGGCGCAGGCCTCAAAGACCCTGCATCAACAAGATCCGACCCCGCAAAGCACAGTTTTGGGAAAATGTGTCTTCCCCATATGCTTTGCGGTGGAATGGTGACTCTCTGTCCTTACCTTATATTCACTGAGACCCAGTCCCTGCCAAGCAGGGTCCAATTCCAGGAGCCTCAAGGCCACATGCTGAGCCCATTCCAGGGTGGGGAGAAGGCTGGGCTGGGCAGTGGACCTGCTGCTGTGGCCTCTGAGATCTCACTTTGTGTTACTCAGGGGGAAACTGAGGCTTAGGGGTTCTTTGGTGAACTTCTGAGGGGCTTGAGGACAGGAGAGAGGGGTAGTTGCCAGCATTTCCTTTCAATTATTCTAAGACCCAGTATCATCGGCCTTGTGTCTTTCCAGATCAGGCTTAGCTAGCCCCTCCCCCCTCACTTCCCAGTTATCAGTCAGCCCAGCTCCCCCCCCCAAAAAAAAAAAAAAAACCTGCCAAGCCACTGCTGCTCTGAGGCTGCTGGCTCAGGAGCCCCAGATTTTGCTGAGCAAGCAAATCCAGAGGTGCTGTCTCTGCACAAAGGCCACTGGCCAGACCTTCCTCTCTTCCCTCTCCAGGATTTGCTTTCTAGGGGGTGCTGAAGCTTGGAGGTGGGGGCTGGGTAAGGGCAGAACCCCAGTATTTCTAGGGCTTCAGCAAGCGGAGGGTTTTGAGGCTTCTAGAGGAGGGGATGCTTGTTTGAAGTCACACAGAAGGCCAAGGAAAGCTGGATTTTGCTTCTCACAAAATCCAGGGGTGGCAGGAAGTGGGTCTGTTATGCCTGGGCTATTTGTAGAATCTTCCTGCCTGCCAAGGCCTGGTCCTTCCTCTCTGGTCTGCCTTTGTGACTGTCTATCATATTGACATCTCCATTAACGATGCCATGTTATTGATAGAGTTTAGTTTGCTTTAACTGTTGATGAAGGCTCCCACTTACCTGGCTCTTCTGTGTCCAGGTTTTCTGTCCATCCCCTTCAACTCTTGAGAATGACAGTCATTGGGACAGTCCCTACCTACAGTGTAAGAGTAGAGACTCAGCCTAAGCATCGATACATTTATATTCATCTGTCTGCTCAACAAGAGTGAATTGAGTTTGGACTTAGTGCTGGCCATGTTCTACACTCCTCAGTTGGGGATGGTGGATGACAAAGTGCATGCGTTCTACGTTGGCCCCTAAGAGAGTTTGTATTTGGTCATTCTGCCCTTGTAACATTCCGGTTACAGCTTATAGTGGCTCTATTTTACAGATGGATAGACTGAGGCTCAAGTGACAGGTGTGTGGCCTAGCGCTGGTCCGTGGGCTCAACTCTGTAGGCTTTGAGTCCCCACCCTGTGTGTGCTGATGCCCTTGTTTGCCTTTCAGCACACCTCAACCAGATGAGGACCTCTCCACAGGCCTCTCGGCTGTCTCAGTACCCTGGAAAAGCCTTGGCCCCAGCAAAGGTCACCGGGAATCCCCAGGAAGCCTGGTGGAAACCTCTGCTTCCCGGAAGGAGGCCCAGGGTGAAGAACACTCAGCAGCTGCTCCCCTGGATGTGTCACGCCTGCGCAGCTCCTCCATGGAGATCCGAGAGAAGGGATCAGAGTTCCTGAAGGAGGAACTACACAAAGCCCAGAAGGTGGGTGCTCCAGGGTAGGGTTGGGGGATGAGGAAGAGCAGCCAGACTGAGTGAGCCCCAATAGCTGTGGAAGGGAGAGGAGTCATCACCTGCCTAGGCTAAATGCCAGGCCCATGCTAGACCTGGGAACTCAAAGGAAGAGGCTGGTTTAAACCATGGCTTCAAGCATGCTAAGTGTATGTTCTACACTGAAGTCTTGGAAGTCTTAAATGTTTTCACTCATCTTGACGCATGTGGAAATCTGCTTCCAGCTCTGCTGGGCTGCTGGGCTAGGGTTTTAACCTTGTGCATGGGCTAGAGTACCACAGATTGTCAGATTCCTATGAAGTGAGCTGGTGGTCTAAAGCTCCACACCAGGCTGGGGAGATGGAGCCTGGCTAGGGCAGGCTGACCGCCTCCTGCCTGCACCCAGGAGCTGAAGCTGAAGGATGAGGAGTGTGAACGGCTTTGCAAGGTGCGTGCGCAGCTGGAGCAGGAGCTGGAGGAACTGACAGCCAGCCTGTTCCAGGTTTGTTGGACAGCCTGGAAATGGGTGGTCCGGGTGTCTAGTGTCTCATGACCACTCATGCAGAGGTGTCCCCTCTTCTAGGAAGCTCACAAGATGGTTCGGGAAGCCAACATGAAGCAGGCTGCATCAGAAAAGCAGTTGAAGGAGGCTTGGGGCAAGGTGAGATGCATCCCTGTGTACCTAGGCCAGCCCAAGGCTTCCATCACAGCCCTTGATGGGGCGTACCACCCTCAACTAGCAAGGGCATGTAACAGGGCACTCACAGACCTACTAGGCATCAGGAACAAGAGACCCCAGATCTGGGACAGGCAGGGTGGGTCTGAAATTAAGTAGCGCAGGACCCTCCAACTCCATTAGTGCCGTGGAGACTTTTTGGGGGCCTTCTGTAGTCCAGGAGGATCCAGTGGTTATTACAGGTTTTCCTCCTGACTTCAAAGCAGAAATGTGGGCTGTGGCTGTAGAACAGGCAAGCAGCTTCCTTTCTTAGAGCGCTTGCCAATCAGTAAATGTGAAGCTTGGGCTGTTCTTGGCTTCTGGAGATCCATGAATACTAAGTAGGACATCCAAGAAGCTCCCAGAGAACTCCTCCAGCAGAGTCTCATCATGTGACCTGAGGCGGGCTATGGCTCCTTTCAGCCTTGGTTTCCCTATCTATAGAATAGCTGTCTTAGAGGTTGTTCAAAGGGTGAGGGGAGGAGTTAGTTACTGCTGGGGCTGCCTGGCCAGCAGGCCATGGTAGCCATGGTGACGTTAACCCCATGTTGGGGTTGATGGTCATCTTGTCTGGGCCAGATTGACATGCTGCAGGCAGAGGTGACAGCCTTGAAGACACTGGTCATCACGTCCACACCAGCCTCTCCCAACCGTGAGCTCCACCCACAGCTGCTGAGCCCCACCAAGGCTGGACCCCGAAAGGGCCACTCACGCCATAAGAGTACCAGCAGCTCCCTCTGCCCAGTTGTGTGCCACACAACAGGGAATATCCCCACCCCAGACAGAGACGGCAAGGAGGTGAGGCACAGGCTATCGTGGGCTCACAACTGGGAGGGGTGTCCCTGCTTAACCAGCCAAGAGAGCACCCTGCAAGAGCCACCTGCCTTCTCCTGTGGGACCTATCATCTGTCTCTCCCCTCTCTGGGCTTCAGGGTCCCTTGAACTGTGAAGGCTGGACAGGCTCCTCTGATTCCAAGCAGGAGGTGGTAATCTCTGAACTTGAGCTGTCTTAGAAACTGAAGTGCCTCTCTCAGGAAACCTCTTCAGAGACACATTTTCTATGTTAAGAATGGCACACAGGTGCCACTGGACATCTGGAGAGGTGTCTTGTGGCTACAGCCTTGAGGTGTAAGACCACCCTGTGCTTATGTGCTCTAGGGTCCTCAGCACCTCTGGCTGTGGTGCTTAGGCAAGCATGACCTCAGAAAAACATTTCTCTCCTGCCTCAGCAAGGAAAAAGGAGAGGGAGGCTTGGTCCAGGCTGGAATGACACGACCAATCCTTGGGTAGCTTTCAGGCTTCTGTTACTTCACATATCACACGCACCCCATCCTCCGGGGGAGGAACTGTGGGGACACGAAAAAGCCAGTTCAGGCTGTATCCGGTGAACACTGGGGAGATGTGGGGTGAGATCCAGCTTTCTGGGGCTCTTGCTCAAGCCCATCCTAGCTCAGAACTCTCTTCATCTGCTTCCTGAGCTTTTAGGAGGTGCAAGAAAAGCCCTCTCTGTCCCCTTCTGAGCACTGAGCTTCCCATTGGACACTGACATCTCCTCCTTCCTCCTGTCTGTCTCTGTATGTCTGTCTGTCCATCTGTCTACCCATCCCCTGGCCCAGCCTGGGCTGCCCCCTCTACTCTCCCTGCTCCTGTGCGTGATCCCCAGCAAGGCCATCCACCTCACCTACGAACCGACCTGGCAGTTCCCATCTGGGGAGCTGCCCACGGCCCCCAACTCTGCTACCTCTCTCTCCTTTTCCCGACAGGTAATGGCTCATTTAGGGGCCACTCATCCTTTCTCCTCTGGGCTTCACTCATTGTGCATGCAGCCCAGGCCAGGCCAGGCCATCATTGCCTCTTCCAGTGGGCAGCAGGGAAACCTGTGAAATGTTCTCTCCTAAGTGCATGTACCTATGTGTGCATTATAGACATACAGAGGCCTGTGGGTTCCTATGGGGACTTGCCCTTGATATTTTTTTCCAAAAGGACTCAGTAGCAGCATTCAGGCCAAGGCCCTGGATCCAAGTCTGTAATTTTGCAGTGCCAAGAAACTTAATGTACACCCAGACTTCAAACTGTGTTGTTCTAAATTCTTTGGTGCAAAGGGCAGACAGGACCTCCTCCTCTTCCCCTGGACTCTGTTCTGCTGCATGGCTGCTGAGGATAGGCCTGATGGTCTACTGAGCCCTCCTGAATCTGCTTGTCCTCCTCTCCATCAGCTTTGTCTTCTCTGAGGTGCTCACCCTCACCCCTGACTGCCCCCCCCTCCCCTGCAGGTGGATACCACCCTGTTTTCAGAGTTCCAGGCTTGGAGGGCATCACCTACCCTGGATAAGGACTGCCCCTTCCTGGAAAGGGTGTACCGGGAGGATGTGGGCCCCTGCCTCGACTTCACAGTGCAGGAGGTGAGGTGGGCTGAGGGGGTCAAGGGTGGCTAGCTGGGGACCCAGCCCATTTGTTCCCAGTCACCCGGTCTCTCCCTGCTCTACCCCGATCCGCTATAGCTCTCGGCTCTGGTGCGGGCTGCTGTGGAGGACAACACACTCACCATCGAGCCCGTGGCTTCACAGACTGTGCCCACAGTGAAGGTGCCCACTGTTGAATGTAACAACACCAAGTAAGCTTAGTGCCCTGGGTGCCTTCCTGCCCTTGTGGGAAGGTCCAAAATGGAGGGAACTAGAATAGGAGCCTTGGTTTTGGGCTTCATGGGATATAGATGGGCTGTACAGCCTCAGGGTGGGTGAGACTAATAACATTCAGGGTGACTATCTCCTATGGCATTATCTATTTATTTATTTATTTATTTACTTATTTTCGAGACAGGGTTTCTCTGTGTGGCTTTGGAGCCTGTCCTGGCACTCACTCTGTAAACCAGGCTGGTCTCAAACTCACAGAGATCCGCTTGCCTCTGCCTCCCAAGAGCTGGGATTAAAGGCATGAGCCACCACCGCCCAGCCCTGTCTCCTATGGTTTATGACTTAGCCTGGGGACTCCCAAGAGATAGGGCTGGGACTGTAGTTTAATAAGTCCTTGACTAGCATGTACAAAGCCATGGAATCCACCCTCGGCACCTTGTGAAACCAAGTATGGTGTGGCATACACCTACACCTGTGGTCCCAGGACTTGGGAGGTAGAGGCAGGAAGGTCAGAGGTCAAAGGTCATTCTTGGCTGCTACATAGCATGCTCAAGACAAGCCTGGGTTACACAAAATCCTGCTGTAAAGGAGTGAAAACAGTAAGCCACAAGAGAGAAACGGTCATCACTGTCCCCGTTTAGGACCAGGAAGTTTCTTTGACAAAAATCCCTCCTGCCAGCTGTTCTGTCTCTTCTGGCTGGCATAGCCATACTTCTCTCGCTCCTCTTCCGACCCACAGTGACCCTGGGCTCTGATTGGCATATAAGTGATTGCTAGCGGCTGGCTCTATCTGCTGCCAATAAATCACTCACTGCTCTGGCAGCTTACCTGCACAATGCTCAGCCAGCACTGAGCAGGGACACCAATAGAAGTGAGCAGTCAAGGTGGAGTGTGGACCAGGCAGGTTTCCCCCTGGGCATTCCAGAGCTGCCCTGGTGGGTGGGGCTGGTCCCACAAAGGAAGCCTGGCTCACAGAGGTGTCCTGAGCCAGTTAGGACACCAACTCACTAGACTGGAGTTTTAGGGGTCATCAGTGTGTGTTACCCTAAAAGAAAGTTCTCCGGTGAATTTTAATGAAGGCTCAGCCTCATAGCGAAGGAAGAGGCAACAAACACTATCAGTTGCTCTTTACTTGGGATTCTGTATTTCTTGGGCAATAGGGAAGCCACAGGGAAAGATGAGTTAAGACATGGCTTTTAGAGTTGCTCCTGACTGTAACATAGAGAGGAAGAAAGGGTAGGCAGGCAGTAGGGACGTCATGGGGAAAGATGATGAGTTAGATGTGGCTTTTGGAGTCACTCCTGGCTGTAACATAGAGAAGAAAGTGTTAGGAGCGTAGAGAGTGGGTAGAAGGAGCTGAGGGAATCCAAGCAAAAGGAATGATGTAGGCAGGGGACATGGCAACCAAGTGAAGATGGGGGGGAGGGAGCCCAGTGGGTGATGCGCTAGACTTCGTCATGAGGCAGGGACCAGTGGAGGGAGCAAGATTTGAGAGTGGGAGGCTGGGCCATGGGCTCTCGGGACCATGGAAACCTAATATGTGGGTAGCTGAAGGTGCTAAGTGGGTTTCCCCGGCATGCATGGCTGAGGAGAGAGGTGGCTGGGAGGGGGATGGCTAGATGAAAAAGCCTGGTGTGGGAAGTGGGAGGCAGTCAGACCAGAGTTCAGTTAGGCAAAGAGGTGATTGGGAGTAAGGTCCCAGTAATGAGAGGGGGGCAGTTTTAGAGGCTGCAGAGGGTGAGGCTATGACATGAGATTGAGTTCCTCTGCTTGTCTGGGGAAAGGAAAAGAGGTGGGGGGAGGGGTGGGAGTGGGCATAGATCCAGCTTCATTTAAGGTCTTTCCTGAGGACTCTTGCCTCATCTCACTTGTTTGGCCCTGGGCTCGTTTGGAAGCCAGGAGTGGGAAGGAGAGGCCAGGCCCTACTTCCCACCTGCTTCCAGTGCTAATTCTCCATGCATTCTCTAGTTAGCACATGTTCCCTGCCTCTGTGAGCCCCATTCAGTGCCTTACACCTCCTCTGGTCTCCCCAGAACATGTGCCCTGAGTGGACTGGCCCGTACCTGTCACCATCGAATTCGCCTCGGGGACTCTGAAAGTCATTATTACATCTCACCATCGTCCAGGGCCAGGGTGAGTCATCCTTCACAAGTGTCACTTGGCTTCTTGACCACAGAGACTAGAACTCTGGACCTCTGGCCTCGAAGCAAAGCCTGAACAACTCTCAGAGGTGCAGAGACTGACTCTCACCATAGTCAGGGCAATGCCTTGTTTCCTATTGCTGTGTGACAAATGCCCATAAATGTAGGGGCTTCAGATAATATGCTAGATTTTAGCCAGTCTCTCACAACCCATTCGCTATGCAAGTAAGGATAACCTTGAACTTTGATGCTCCTGCTTCTACTTTCAAAGCACTGGAATTACAGGCGTGCACTACCATGCCTGGTTTTTACCATGTTGGAGACGGTAGGCAAGCCCTCTACCAATTGGCTATCCCCATCCAAAAGGTAATATACTCTCTTTTTGTTTCATTTTATTTTGTTTTGAGACAGGGACTTGCTATGTAGTCCTTACTGTTCTAGAATTTAGAGCTTGAATTTAGAGAGATTTGCCTGCCTCTTCCTCCCCGGTGCTGGGATTAATGGCATGAGCCATCATGTCCTGTGGTTATATATTCATATTCTCTCACCTTTCACCTTTCTCCTGGGCCAGGAGCCTGGATACTGATACACCAGGCAGCCTCAGCTCAGGGACCTACCAACCTGCAGTCAGAGCTCAGCTAAGTGGGTTCTTATCTGAGTTCAGGGTCCTTCCCAAGCTCCTGCAGCTGATGGTAGAATTCAGTTCCATGTGTCCCTGATGGTCTTTGTAGGCCAGGGAAACCCTCAGCTTCTACCACATGGCCTTAAAACCAGGGCTGAGGTGTATTCCAGGGCGGCACAGCACAGCCCAGCCCAGACATGGAGTCTTCAGACTCAGCTGTCTGCAGCTCCTCCTTTGGGTGCCCACAGCCTTGTTCTATGACCTCACGTTCCTTCATCCTTGTGTCTTGCTTTTCTTTTATTGAGACTTTGGTGTGTGGTTCTGCTGGGCACAGCTGTGTAGCAGAAGAGACCGGAGCTGAGGAGGGTCAGATCCTCGCTCAGACAGATTGAGGGATGAAGTGTTAACAAAGAACACAGCCCTGGGGAGAAATTCTGCCTCTCTGCCACTCCATGCTCAGGAGCCCTTGTGGCTGCCCTGTTGGCAGCTACTCACCTGGAATCAGAGTTGTGCCGTCTCCCCTCCCCCAACATTGTTTCCCCCATCCTAGCACCAGGCTCAGCCACACCTCTGGCTGGTGCTCCTATGCTTTCTCACACCACCCTGCCTTTTCCTCCTCCCTCCCTCTCCAGCTCCCTGAACCCTCTCTGGCCTCCTGGCAAGCTCTGTGTTTGGTGGCCTAGCAAGAGCACCTCCCCGCAGCCTCTTTCGCAGGCTAGCCTCCGGGTACTTCACATATAGGGCTTTCCTGTCCCAGAATCCTGGAGAGGGGCTCTTGTGGGACCAGCTGCCTGCTACCACCCTTCCTGGCTGGTTTTCTAGATGCAGAAGCTGTGTGGACATTTTTGGAACTTCTCAATGGAGTGAGGGAAGCAGGGTGAGGCTGGGAAAGGAGGCAAACCAAGACAGGGCTGAGCTTTGGCTAGCTCCAGGGGGAATCCTGAGCACAAATCTCCCTCCATCCTGGCCTTGTATTCCCTCCACAAAGAGAGGTGCCATGGGCTCAGTATCACCTAAACCTTCAGAGGCTGTGAGAGCAGACCAGGCCTGGGGATGGCCTCAGGACAGGATACAACAGAGCCCCCTCCTCTCTGTGAGAGTCTTTGGAGCTGTACCAGTGAAGGGTCACAAGAGCTTGACAGGGAACAGGCCTCTAGCTATAGTGGGGTCCTCAAGCATCTTGGGGACAGGTGGGAACAAGGCAGCCTGGGACAGCAACTCAATTGCCTTGCACGGGATTGCACACAGCACCTAGTTTATGTCTGTTGGGCCCAGACCTCCTTGCACAGGAGGAACAGGTCCGTGGGGGATTAAGTTTGGATGCTGGTACAGGCCAGCAGATTGCTTCTGTAGCTTGCCCACTTCCTAACTCCATACTTGACCAGTTTTTATCACTGGTAAAATGGTCACAGGGAGCGTCTGCGCCTCACTTGCTGTGTTGCTTAAAGGCACTTGCAGCCGTTCTTAGGCACTCTGGGAGTCTTGGTACTGTTAATTAAACCGTGGAAGCCAAGCTCTAGTAGAGTCAGAGCACCCCCTGGCTCTGCCAGGTACCTAGGACTTACTGTTCTGGGACAGGGTCTACACTGGCTTTTGGAAGGGACCCTAGAGTGTGGGGAATCCAGTGAGTCACACCCTCTCCATTCTGCTTACAGATCACTGCAGTATGCAACTTCTTCACCTACATTCGCTATATCCAGCAAGGCTTGGTTCGGCAGGATGGTGAGTGCCCCCTAGTGTTCTTCTCTGGGATAGTGCCCAGGGGAGGAAGACAGGGCAGAATGGGGCTGGTTAAGTGCCTTCCAAGCCCTGTCCAGCAGCTGCAGAGGCAAAGGTATAGAGTCCCTTCTAGTAGAAGGACAGCAAAGGGGAGCTGTTCCTCGGTGGTGGTGGGTTCTGCTTCACTGGGACAGCAAACCTGGTGCCTTCCACATGTCTGGGCCATGCTGCTTTTTCTTGTGCCTAGAAATCCTAGGGTCAGCAGAGACAGCATTCCTGTTACTGGCTTTGACGTTCAAGGTTCTTTATGATGGGTCTCTCCTGTGACTCTTCCCTATTTTCTTCATGGCCACCAGAACATGGGTCCCCTGCCTCCTGGGTCCTTCTCCAGACATGGGGACTGGTGCCCTGGGCCCTGCTCACTGCTCTGGGTCAAGGTGGGAAAATATCTGCAACTGGAGAAGTGTAGTTCTAAGCCCACGATGAGAACAACTGTGTGGCAGAGAGTGTGCACATATCTGATCAGGCAGAGGGGGAGCTCGCCCACTGCCCTGCCCAAAGCCAGAGAAGGCCAGGACAGTTGCCTGAAGTGACCATGAACTATCCTCTCTGTCTGCAGCTGAACCGATGTTCTGGGAGATTATGAGACTTCGGAAGGGGATGTCACTAGCCAAGCTTGGCTTCTTCCCCCAGGAGGCCTAGGGCATGGCCCCAGGCCTGAAGTAGGCTCTGAGCTAGAGCAAACAGCTGCCTTGGGACAGACAGACAAGAAATCCTGGAGCCAGCTTGAGCCAGAAGCTGAAAGGACAGATAAACAGCCAGGCTGTAGAGACAGCACTAAGCCAGTCCCGCCCATTCCTCCTGGGACAGACAGAAGGACAGCCTGCCCTGGACTTCATGAGATGACCCTCTTGCCCACTGGGCTCTGTAGCCACTAAGAGACTCTCAAGAAAGCACCAAAGATCAAGGCACTTGGAACCATATTGGGGAAAGGCTCAGTCCTAGAGAGGGGACCCTTGAGCAGCCAGTACCCTCTCCACAATTCCCTGCTGCTTACCAATGCTCTGTTGCTGCCACATCTTTAGAAAGGGACTGTTATAAGGTGGCTGGATCTCCAGAGTATGCTCCGCCACAGCCTCTAAGCCCTGGGTCATCAGCACCCCCTTGTGGCCATCTCTCAACCTGTACTGAGTGGCCTCAGGTTGCCCCAGCAGTAGGGCAAGCATCTCTCTCCAATCTGAGAATTCTGGAGGGACAACTGCCAGAAAGTGCTCTGAAAATGAGTCCTAGACACACCCATTCCTCTGCATAGAGGCCTCTCTTTCCCCTCCCTTCCTACTTCAACCCCATCTCCAGGAGGTCCTGGTCCTAAAATTGCCAGGGGCCTGGGCTCTTTCTTCCCAAAGTGTGGCACCAGGGAACCTCGGGACATTTGGGCAGCCATCCAGACTACAGGGGCCCTGGATGTGGGACTGGATGGAGTGGGCAGGCTACCCAGGACCTGGACCCTGCCTTATCCATCATAGCCCACCGGGAACTGGGCTTGGGGGTTCCAACCTGGGCATATTCCCTCACCACGCCCCTATTTCCTTCGAGTGGAATGTAACGCGATCTCTATTTAATAAAGGAAGGCTTTGTTGGTAGGGGCTAGGCAGCAGTGGCCTTCACTCCTGCGTCCTGGGGCTCTGGCCAGAGCTTGGGCATCTGAAGGAATGAAATCAAATCCTTTCCTAACTGCCCTCGTGCTTGGGATTAAACCCAAACCCTGAAGCCACCGCCACTGCTGCCAACACTTACATGCTGCTGGGAAGACTGCTGGAGTTGTCCTTACTATTTCATGGTGCTATGGGGTGTAGGAATGGGTTTTGCCACTCTGTGTATTCGGTTCTGACTTGTGAATCCCCCAGCCCTCAGAGATGATCCCCAGCCTATTAGAAGTCTGGAGTCGAAGCATCTAGGCTTCCTGGGGCTTGGCAGGACAGTGTAAGATGGTGCTACCTGCCATAGGACAGATGGGAAGTACAGAACTGTCTAGCCCCAGTCTTAGGTGCCTTCTTAGCAAGGCATGGCAATCACAGGTGGAAAGAGGTGGGGGTACCTGGGTCCTCAGACACCTCAGAGTAGGACCGGGAGATGTCCTGGGGCCCCTGCCTCTGCGCCACCTGTAGGCCTCTATGCTTTCTTGAAAGGGTGCAGCAGATTCTGTGTTAGGTCAGAGGTTGTCAGTAGCCCATGGGCACTTCTCTGTTGGCCTGGGGCCCAGGTGCAACTCAGATGGTAGATCAGCTGGGGGCTGGCCAGATCTCTGTCAAGGTCCTCTGCCTTCACATGTTCTCTGGCCGGTAGCCTGTTCCCAGGACGCTACTGTCTCCATTGTGGCCCGTGTTCTCACGTCTCTTCCCTGCTCCATGATGGCTCCAATTCTATCTTCCCAGTCCCCATAGACACCTGGTCACTGACCAGACACCCCTGTCACATCTACTCATCCATTTAGCCAATACAGGGGTGGTCTCTGCGCTGGACGTTGGCAATAGTAAACATACCAGCAACACATCCAGGTCTCTGGATGGAGAAAAGTAAAGACAAAGGAGAATGCCAGGGAAGGACTTGGTGTACTGGATGGGATTCCCCATGGCATCTCTATGTCAACCCTTGTTCACCTGAGGACATGGGAGGATGAAAACCTGAGCCCTGGACTTAGTCCCTAACTTCTGTGTTCTTGGCTCAGCCATATGCAAGACCAAAGAGGCACTTCAGAAGCCTGTGGAGGACCTTTCTCCGCTGACTTATATGCCTTGCTCTACAAAGCCATGATCAGACCACAGGTGGGGCCATCCACACAGCCACACCTTGGTAACAGCAATTAATACCTTAACACTAGTCATAGCTCCCAGCCCTCTCCGAACCCATTATTTCAGCCTCTTAGCAACGTAAAAACATGCTGTTCTCCTTCATGTAAATGGACAGAGGCACTGGAGAACATAAAAGAGGTCCTGAGGGTGGGGTTTATTTAGCTCAGGGTAGAGGCTTGCGTTGCAAGCATAGGCCTTGGGTTCAGTCCCCTGTTCCAGAAAAAAAAACCAAAAACACAAAGATCCTAAGTCTCTGGGACCCACAGTATTACCCACCTCTTAGTGCTTTGTTTTATATACCTAACACTCCAAGTATACTTAGGTTCTTTGCTTCTTTAATTGATGCAGAGGGCTAGGGGTATAGATCAGTGGTAGATGTCTCAAGGTCTGGGGTTTGACCCTCAGCACCACACACTACAAAAGAAAAGAAACAGATTGAGACGGCCGGCATTTGAACCTATGTTTGTTTCCTGTACTATAACCTGTTAGAGTTGACTGTGTTGCCGGATCTGTGAAGTAGCGTGGGCTGACTCTTGGAGTTGATTGCCATCAGCTACAGAGTTGTTCTTAAATTTTTTGAATAACCATTTTGGGCTTCTATGAATGCTTGACACACAGGAAGCATTTGAGCCCTCCTTCGCTAGCCCTGAGTCTGGCCTCTAGGCATGAAGGCATTGAACCTGACTAAGCACGTTTACCTGGGGCTGAGATATCTCACTTTGCCATCTGCCAAACCTGCCCTGATTTGAACCCTACCAGGGCTGTGACCTTGGAGCAAGTTGCTTTTCTCATTTATGAGTTGGGATTATGATTTTTCTCCACAATCTCCATCCATGAATGCATTCATTTGGTGTTTGTAGGGTGTGTGTGTGTGTGTGTGTGTGTGTGTGTGTGTGTGTGTATGTATATGTGAGTGCACATGGACATGGTCCCCATGTCACAAGACATGTGTTGTGTTGGTCCTCATCCTCCCATCTGTTTGAGGCAGTCTTTTATCGTCCATTGCTGCATAGGCCAGGCTAGCTTCAGGGGATTCTCCCATTTCTGCCTCCCACCTTCCCATTACAAACACAGGGATCAAACTTTATACAAGTTACAGCTCTGGACTCAGGTCATCGGGCTTGCACAGCAAGTGCTTAATCCACTGAACAATCTCAGCCACACTTACTGTTTTAAAACATGTAATCTTACCCATTTTTAAGTGTAGAATTATAGTTGTGTTAGGTATATTCACACTGCCTTGAAACCAACCCTTTGCATCTTGCCAAACAAATGCTATGCCCATCAGACAATTCCCTATATCCTCTGCCCCTAGACTGTAGAGACCAGCATTTCACCCTCTGCCTCTGTGAGTCTGTCTCCTTTAGAGACTTGACATAAATGGAATTATAGCTTATTAATCATCTTGTGACTGGCTTGTTTCATGTAATGCTCTCAATATCCATCTACATTGTAAGATGGCAGGATTTCCTTAAGGCTCAGCAGTGTTCTGTTGTGTGCATAGCACCCTGCTGTGTCTGTCCATTCATTGGTGATAGACATAGGCTGCTGGTACCTGCTGATGTATATGCAACTATGTCTTGGAGACCCTGCTTAGAACCCTTTTGAATAATCAACCAGAAGTAAGTTTGTTGATTCATATGGTAGTTTTTTGTTTTTTTGTTTTGTTGTTGGTTTTTTTTTTTTTTTTTGAGGCCCCCCTCCATTCTTTTCCATGGTGGCCACACCATTTTAAAGTTCTAGCAACAATGCCCCAGGTGTTTGCTCCCTGGGCTTTGATCTGCACCCCTAATAGTGATCTGGGGTCTTTTCACTTTTGCTGCCCATTTCTGTGCATCCTGTTCTTACCAAGGGGTGTTCTAAGGAGCCATGTTCCACCATACTAGCTGATAGGCTTGTGGTTCCTGGCCTAAATGGTTCCAAACAGCCTTTACATAATTCTGTGGTGCCCATGGCCCCCGCTCCTCCTTTCTCAGAAGAGTTGTACCCTGAACTAATAACCAAGCTCATGATGTGATCAGTAACTCAAGCCAAATCCCAGAGCTCTGATTCTTTTGCCTGAGCTCTGGGACTGCTCTTTCTTGGTGGCTTTGGAGTTTTTTCTTAAAGCCACTGCTTGCCTATCCTGCTTGCTGAGTCTCCCTGGCATTGCACAAACATCCCTTGGCTCCAGGACAGTAGCTGGTAGCTCTGTAGGGGGTGGCAATTTCAAGGCATCCAATAAGAGGCCTGGGTGGAAGCTCCCAACAGTAAAGGATCCAGCTGGGACAGAGGCAAGGGTCTTCATTCAAGGTATCCAAGAGGACTCTCCTCAAACCTCAAGTTACCCCCCTCAAAAAATAAAATACTCCAGTTGGCTGGCTCCCCTCCCCCCCCACCCACACGCCCTGGCAGTGGTCCAATGGCAGCTCAGGAATGTCGAGTGATGCCTCTCCCTTTCTAAGTGGTCTGAGAGGCCTCAGCTGCCTGGATTTGGGGATTTGGGGACAATGGGGCCTGAAGTTCCCTCAGCCCCTGACTCCCTGCAAGTTGAAAGTTCTCCAGCATCAGAGATCAGAGAGACAGAGTGGCCTAGGAATGACCCCAAGGCCTGCAGAAAACCAAAGTGGAAGCTGTTTGTGTGGGAGGTGAGTAGAGGTCACTCATAGTTTAGGCTTTATGGGAACACACAGCTAGATACAGGTGAAAGAGGGCCCCATTCCACCTATATATTCCATGCTGGACTGAAGTGGCCAGAGACAGTAGCATGGTTCAGGCCTTCTCTTGGTTTATCTAACCAGTCTGTCCAGCCTTCACTTTGCTGACTCTCCTGGTATGGCTGGGGCATTGATTTAACTTACTTGATCCCTAACTGCCTCTCATACCTGAGTCCAGGCCACATCCCCAAGGAAGAAGCCCTTGGATGGCTCTTGAGCCAGCCACATCATAATAATGCTGAGAAAGGAGAGGATTGTACCCTGTGGGCCACCAGGTTTGGATGCAAGAGGTGTATTCCTTGGGAAGAACAGGCTCTCTTCATCCCAGTGCTCAGGGTGACCATGTGGGGGCAGCAGTACTTGCTCTCCTCTTGGGCCTGGGCTGCTCTACCCTGCAGGTGTGCAGAAATGGGGTTCCAAGATTCTGAAGGGCCCAGTAGAAAGGGATTGAAAAACTCCTGTCTGTGCCAACATCATGGGTCTCTGGTTGACCTGGCTAAGCAAAGCCAGAGTTCCTTGAGCTAGGGAGAACCAAGAAGCCCCCTTCTTCAAGCTCTGGTCTGCCCGTGACACAAATACCATGCATGGGTCTTCCGTCTTGTGAGTTCTGCAGCCTAAGACACAAGAGTCGTAGATTGGACATGCTCAGGAAATTCCCAAAATTCAAGTCTGGGATGTGTCACACTCCTCTCTCTCCATGTGAAGGAAGCAGTGTGTATGTGGGCTGCTGACCCTGCTGTCCCCTCCCCTGGTTTCACAGGCCCTGACTATCGCCCCAACATTCTTTAGAGTACCACTTACCTCTGCTTCTCCTCCTGCCCTTGCATTCAGGCTTGTAATGGTTGCATCTGGGCTGAATGCTTTCAGCCTTTTATTCTTGCCATTGTTCCCTAAACAATGCAGTGAACAATTATTTATAGAGCATTTACATCCCATTAGTCATTATAAGGAATTCAGAGATGATTTAAAGTGTGTGTCAGGATGTGTGAAGGTTACATGCAAATATTTTATGTAGGACAGGAGTCCAGGTTGATCTTGGTATCCTTAAAGGCTAGGTCTCCTACAAATTCTTAGACAGGCCAAGAGGAAATGTTA